ATGTGTGTTATTACATACACAAGTGGCCTGAAACCTGCACTGTATTTGATGTCACTACACTCTACTTTACATTGTGTTATTAATGTAAAGTAGCAGATGCTTCGTAAGTCTACTGCAAAATATGTTCTATTTTGTTTTTACTGGTGCTTCCTTTTGATTCGATGTTAGTGAACACAATCACTGCTAATCGTTTGTCCATGTATGGAATAATAGCTTCATTTATCACTGCCAATCATTTGTCCTTGATGGAGTACATTATGATTTTATATTACTTATAAACAGTGTCAGTATTAAAGATTTTGGGTTGGAATACATCCCATTTGTGTATCTCTTCGCTTTCCATGTCGGGTTTTAGGTCTTAAAGACCTGGGAGGGTCAGGTGTGTTCGACCTCTTCCTCCCTCCTTGTGGATGGTAATGGTTTCGGTTAAATGGTTGCAGTTACAGGAGAATATTAAAATAATCACTACATGAGGGTCAGAGTAACCCGCACTTACTCTGACCCCTTTCAGGGCAAAGTCCATGTAATTCTTGTAATATTCAGTGGATATATACAAAATTTTCTTAGCGAACAGTTCCAGTGTAATATCCACTTTTATTAGTTCTTAGAACTTCCTGAGAACATTTTCAAAGCTGTCAAAGCAGCTTTAAAAACTAATGTAGCTTATCTCAATCTATTGTGAAGTGGTACCTTCTTAAATATTTATTTTTATGATATATATTAACGAGCCATTTGTGTGTGTCTGCATTCTTAAAATATGTTCAAAATGTTGTTGTTATGGTTTTCATTACATCTTTTATATAGTGTTAGATCTGCATGTGGTAAAATGTAAGGTTGGAAATACTTGTTCATATCTATATTAAGTGTGACAGATATCCATTTGTCAGTTTGAAAGTGTTATAGGTGTACCGTGTTTAAAGTGGACTGTTGTAAGCGTGTTTTATAGATGATGTCCATTTCTTAAGCACCGTGTTATGTTTGAGTTGACTAGTTCCAAGATAACATCAAACATTAATGTGTATTAATCTGTGGCAACGTAAAAATAAAGTCTAAATTTAAGATATTTAAAAACTTTGCTGAAAATGTAAATTTAGTAATAGAAAGTAGTCAGATTTAAAGAAGTACAAAGATGACGGTTTTTACACTGAAGAACACGTCAGTGTTTCCCAAAGTGTGGTACGTGAATCCTCAGAAAAACTTTAAATAGAAGAAAAACGAGTCTCAAAAGTTGAAAGCTTTCTTGGTGAATCTTGATAATGTTTGTGTCTTAATGATATTTATTCAAGTTGTCATTATTGTTTAATAAATAAATAATCTGTGAAAACACTAGATTTACAACCAGATAACATTTGTTTTATTTCAAGGGTTGTGATGTTAATGACCTTTCGACTAGCTCGTCTCCGCCTACAAATTGTCCACCACCACCACCACCCCTACCACTCCCAACTGATGAACTTATGGGTGGTGGGAGTTCAGTTGAAGGTAGCAGAGCTGCATTATTTAAAGAGATTAATCAGGGAGAAAATATAACTAAGGGTATGTGGTCTGAAAACATAACTAAAGGTATGTGGTCTGAAAGTATAACTAAGGGTATGTAGTCTGAAAGTATAACTAAGGGTATGTAGTCTGAAAATATAATTAATAAAAGTATGTGATCTGAAAACATAACTAAAGGTATGTGGTCTGTAAATGTAACTAAGGGTACATAGTTTTAAAACATAACTAAGAGTATGTAGTCTGTCAGCATGGAACAAATAGTAAGGCTATAAACCTAACTTGTCTCTATAGTAGAGAGCTGCTTTTTTTTTTCATTTAATTGTCAAAATGTTGAGTACTGAAGGAATTGTAGATTATATATTATACAACTAACAATAACATGATGCATTCGTGCAACAGTGAAAACAAAAATCAGGTTTTTGTCACACATCTTAAACCCAGGTAGGCTACTGCACCTGGATCCTGAGTATAGTAGCATATTTTTTGTAAGGAACAAGAGAATTTCTTGATAAAGAAAAATTTGCTTGATTTGTGAATGTTCTATTATAAAATATTGATGTGACTGTATTTTAAAATATCTATAAGTACATTTTATTATTTTCTTAAAAGTAATACCTCATTAAGTCACTTGTCACAAAGAATTATTTAAAATGTGTCTCTCTAAAGGTTTGCGTAAAGTCACATCAGACCAGCAAACCCATAAGAATCCAAACTTAAGAATTCAAGCTGCTTCCCCATACAAGGGTCCAGCTACCACTGCTCGTCCATTCAAACCATACAGTAGTGGATCGGGGTCTTCTACTGCAACATCTCAGAAGCCAAGTAAGCCACCAAAGATTGAGCTGGAGGGAAAGAAGTGGATTGTTGTAAGTAGGAGGAAGTGTGTCGGCACTGATCATAGTCTTAAACTATTGTTATAATGATAAAAATTATCTTCAGTAAAATGGTTTATTTAGATATTCGTATTGAGGCATGAATCTTTGATCTTGGAAGAAACACGGGAAGCAAAAACGTGATCATGTTAGGGAAAAACGTATTTTATGAAGTGAAAGCAAATGTAGCCATAGGTTTTTAGTACTTGTATTTCTTAGACATCATAGTTTTGTAAAAAAAAAAAATTATTCTCATAACTTAAACACAACTAACTATAATCAAAATTAGTTGACAAAACATTCATGTTTTATAATTATACTGTAAAGTTTTTGTAAGTTACATCTACAAAATATTATATAAATGGTTCTTACTTTGTCATAAGTTACATCTACAAAATATATTAATGGTTCTTACTTTATTATCATAAGTTACATCTACTAAATATTATATTAATGGTTCTTACTTTATTGTCATAAGTTACATCTACAAAATATTATATTAATGGTACTTACTTTGTCATGCGTTACATCTACAAAATATTATATTAATGGTTCTTACATTATTGTCATAAGTTACATCTACAAAATATTATATTAATGGTTCTTACTTTATTATCATAAGTTACATCTACAAAATATATTAATGGTTGTTACTTTGTCATGCATTACATCTACAAAATATTATATTAATGGTTCTTACATTATTGTCATAAGTTACATCTACAAAATATTATATTAATGGTTCTTACTTTATTGTCATAAGTTACATCTACAAAATATTATATTAATGGTTCTTACTTTATTGTCATAAGTTACATCTACAAAATATTATATTAATGGTTCTTACTTTATTGTCATAAGTTGCATCTACTAAATATTATATTAATGGTTCTTACTTTATTATCATAAATTACATCTACAAAATATTATATTAATGGTTCTTACTTGTAGGACTGTATTGTTGACTGTGGCTTGCATGAATAATACAGTATCAAAAAAATCTCTAGACTTATGCACTTAGTGATTGTTTAATGTTTGGAAAACTAAATTCTGTTTATCACCTGCTCAGGGTAAGGGAACAGCTTCTGTAATTTTTCCTAGGCCCAGTTACTCGGCTTATGCCAGTTTGTCACGTGTCCATGTTTATAATATCCAACAGCACACTATCCATGGTCTGGATATTTTGGTCAAACCTTCCATGATATTATATCTTTAATGTGTAGGACTACTTGCACAACAAATGAAGCTTAAGTAATATTGAACTATGCATGTTTATTGTTTTAACTTTGATATGTCATACTTATTCCACAACAAACATTCATCTAATCACTTCAGTAAAGCTAATGTAACTAGTTTACTAGATCTTACTCGGTAGTATTGTAAGTAGCTTTAAAGTTTACCTTACTATGAGAGTTATAATACAAGTCATAATGTAACATATAATACCATCTTTAAACAGAACGTCTGTAGCATATACCCCAGAAATATGTATCACTAACTATGTATGTGCTGTGATCTTTCTATATGGGTACATTTTCTTAAACTAATTTTTTTCAAAAAAAAGGAATTACACAGGCTACAAAATGGTATTACTTGTACATTTACTGGGGAGAGTTCACAGAAAGAAAGCT